TAGGGTATTTTATTCGCTCAACATCTGAGTGTTCTGCAAGTTTGGACGACGACGTTCCTTTGTTTGTGGGTTTCTTATCCTTTGCTTGGGCTTTCATCTTGAATTCTTAATTGGGCTTCGCTCTTTGGACCATTTAATTTGGACTGCACTTTTAGTGTGTCAACAACTTCCTCTGAAGTGGCCTATCACAAACAAATTTTAGCATAATGTAAAGTCTCATCGCATTCACAAGTTAGACTCCTCTTACAAACAATAAATGGAATAAATAATACCACTAGCAAGTCGCCTTCATCAAGGACGACATGTGTACTAATATCTCCCAAGTGCACGAATCTTAACAAATGATAAAGTGGGTTTAAGAGTCAGAATTATCATTACAACGAGAACTACTATATAATAGTTGTTTTAATTATTTCTAACAATTGAGGACAAATAGAAGTAGTTTTAACGTTTATCTTAAATATTATATATCTACAAAAATAATTAAAAAGTACACCATTAATTAGAAAAAGATATGAAAGACGTTGATATATATTGGGTCTGTTTGGTACAAATTTTCATTTTCTATATTAAATCAATTCTCATTTTCAACCACATATTTTTCAATAAAATAATATTTTTCATCACATCAATACATTTTTCTTCTTTTTCAACCACACATTTCCCATCATATCACTATTCAAAAATCAATTTTTCCCCTAAAACTCCCTACCAAACACACTCATTATCTTGTGTGCGATCCGACTAACATTAATTAGAAAAAGATATGAAAGACGTTGATATATATTGGGTCTGTTTGGTACAAATTTTCATTTTCTACAGTAAATCAATTCTCATTTTCAACCACACATTTTTCAATAAAATAATATTTTTCATCACATCAATACATTTTTCTTCTTTTTCAACCACACATTTCCCATTATATCACTATTCAAAAATCAATTTTTCCCCTAAAACTCCCTACCAAACACACTCATTATCTTGTGTGCGATCCGACTAAAAAACTCACTTTTAGCAGATTTTGCTAATTCATAAAAGTGCTAGCAATTTAAATAAAATATGTTCTTTCTTCAATTTCAATAAATGCTGCTAACAAATCAAATCGTTGCATCTTCTGATTTCCAATTTTACCCTTCAATTGACAAATGCAATTACAACTTTTCCTCTCAATTATTTTTAGGGATAATTGCAGCTACGGTCCCAAACCTTTCAAATTTTTGCGTATTTTACCCTAACCTTTGATTTGTGCCAGCCACAGTCCCAAACCTTTCAAAAATATGCAGCAGAGGTCCAAATAGACGTTTTCCATCCGTTTGACCGTTAGTCAACCAAGAATAGTAAAGTTTGACCAATTTTGACAATTTTCGAATGGGCAGAGTGGTAAATTGACAATTAAAATATTAAAAAATAAATAAAGAAACAAAATAAATAAATAAAGAAACAAAATAAAAAAACAAAAACCGCCCAGTCCCAGCCCCACCCTTCTTCTTCAGCCTTCAGCTATCGTCACCGACCAAAACATCGTCGTCGGTCAGCTGCCATCATTCCCTATCTCCTTCTCCAACACCACTCTCTCCACCCCCAAAACGCCACCACCACAATCAACAAAATCAAAACCTACAAAATCCACAATTTTCTCAAATCTCTGGTTCTCAAACCCACAAAATCCACGACTAACATTTTAAGCTTTGCATCGTCAGCGTAATTTGCTCCACCAACAAACTGAAATTAGTGTACCGTAAGCTTTCTGTGGCTTGAGAAAAGGATGAGAGATCTGTTATCGAGCTTCTACTCG